TGCTACTGTAACATTGACATTTGACCAAGTGACCTCTGGCTCAAAATCATCAAGGAAAGGAAAATTAACAATTGGAAAGGAAAAGCAATCAATTTGGTATGATAAATTACCATGAGAAATCCATGACATATTTTGTTGAACTTTAAACCTTTATTCCACTTGACACAATATATAAAGTAACCTGTAACCTATGTCATGTCAAGTTTCTTTTTCAAATCAATTTCTGATGAAAAACAGTAGGAGATATTTCCTTTCTAATCTAATATAATAAACTCTCAGACAGAAAAAGGAGAGGAATAGACAGAGTTTATTTCAGAGATCAGTTCAATTATGTCTTGCTACCAAGCTGTAATATGTAGAAGTGATTTTGTCAACCAAGTACAGCATATTAATGAACAAATATGCCAATCTCCAAAGACAGTAAAATAGAGTCTTTATCACATTTACATCACTTCAAAGATAGTGAACTTGATTTAGGTCTGTGCTCAATGTTATTGCATTTAGTCAATTGTCTCACAAAAAATGAAGTCAGTAAGTTCATGTACTAGACGGTGGCAATCTATACAAGGACTCACTAGGGCAAATGTTTCTCTTTCCCATCTGTAACTTTGCTTTTATTGATTTTAAAAAAAATGGTCTATTCTTCAGTAATTTTTTCATTTGATGTAACAGTAACTATTCATTAACTAGAGGCTCCAAGGAGCATGTACAGATCACCTGGCATTTTTGTATAAAATTGATACATTAATGCACAATAACATTTGTGTTGAACTGAAACTATGTGGGCAAAAATCTTGCCTTGCTGATAACTCGCAGGTTTAGATAGTCCAAAGTCCACAAAATAAAATGTATATGTACCTTTACAATTGTTTTAAATACTGAAGTTTACATATGTACATAGTTACTTACATGAATGCCAAAGAGCAAATATTTAATAAGTCAAATGATATCATGAGTTTCCTTCATTTGACTTTTGTAAATTTGAAGTATTATTTGTTAAATTCAAAATACTGTTGTTTATCAATTAAAATATTCTTAAAATATCTTCATTCATTAGCACATCAAAGGTCCTGTCCTATTGGTAACTAATTAACTGCAACAACTGTAGGTGTAATACCACCAAATCATAGTACATCACATCCGGTTGCATACGAAAATAGATCGAAAAAAAAATATTCCCTTGAATTTGACAGTTGTAGGTAATTGATCCTACATTTCATTGCAGTAAAACAGTTCTGGGTCATAAACATATATCTTGGGTATTTCAAAGCACCATTATTTTTTTGTTTGTGGTTACTATAGAATATTTTGGAAACTTGAGGTTACATGGTTACTAAAGCTTGTACACAGGTTAAAAAGGGGGAAAATTTGATTGGTTAACTTCCAGTGATGGTTATTTTCTTATGTGCAATGAAATGTTAAGTGAATTTTTTTCTATAGTACTGGACAGGATAAAACTTTACTCATGCCAAGTATTTCTTTATTTGAAACAAAGATAAATTCTGCACAATTTTTTGAAAAGTGCAAATTTAACAAAGACTAATAGGGGAAAATCAATGGTGGTATTACACCTAATATGGGAAGCTGTACATGCACCTTTGACCTTGTGAGTACTCTCATGTGTTAAGATTTCTTGCTATTTAAGTGAAATATTACAAATAATGAAATATTCTGAGTGGATTGAGTCTCCAAAACACATTTTATGAGAAAATTTCCTTGAAATAGAACTTTACCATGAATACTAGTTGACAGAACAAGCCATACTTAGAGTTTTGGGGAGCTTTTTCTCCATATTTCTTATATTCTGCTATACTAGAAAAATTGACCTAAGAAATACTTCAATAAATATATAGTTTTAAGTAAATGAAATTATTTTTAAAGCAGTAACAACAAATTATTCACCAAAAGAGAAGCTTTTTATGTCCCTCTCTGGAACGCGGCGTAAATTTAAGTTTTAAGTAACGACTTATTGAAACCTCCTTGGAGACGGTAAACTTTTATATAGATAGTTCATTCAGCTTGAATACTTCAATAAATCATTTATTATAACATTTCCATCATAAATGAGTGAAAGTTACCCTAAAATTTTTATTTATTGGCCTAAAAAGTAGAAATTTTGAGGAAATGAGAGGTATAAATGGACCAAAAGAGACCTTAGAAGGAAGACAAAGAGGTCCATTAGTAGTATTTATCATCCTAAAGTCATCTTTTGTATCATATTCAACTGTTTGTAGGCAGATGAGATAAATATTTGATCATTTATTGGTCCACACTATATTCTATCATGATGCGGCTTGGTTTGGATTTTTCGAAGAAATTTTGCTCGAATCGCTGTAGATGTCGTTTTACATTATACTAGATTTTTCTCAAACTATTGAACTGATTGAGACAAAACTTGACAGGAATGCTTGAAATAACCAGTATTACAAAGAAAAAAGTCACATTCAGTTTATTTAACAAAAAAGTCTTCTTTAGGTGTAATACCACCAAATCATAGTACGTCACATCCGGTTGCATACGAAAATAGGTCGAAAAAAAATATTCCCTTGAATTTGACAGTTGTAGGTAATTGATCCTACATTTCATTGCAGTAAAACAGTTCTGGGTCATAAACATATATCTTGGGTATTTCAAAGCACCATTTATTTTTATTTGGGATATTCTATAGAATATTTTGGAAACTTGAGGTTACATGGTTACTAAAGCTTGTACACAGGTTAAAAAAGGGGGAAAATTTGATTGGTTAACTTCCAGTGATGGTTATTTTCTTATATGCAATGAAATGTTATGTGAATTTTTTTCTATAGTACTGGACAGGATAAAACTTTACTCATGCCAAGTATTTCTTTATTTGAAACAAAGATAAATTCTGCACAATTTTTTGAAAAGTGCAAATTTAACAAAGACTAATAGGGGAAAATCAATGGTGGTATTACACCTAATAAGCCTTTTGCCTTTTGAACACCAATAACAAATGCCAACCTAATCCTATAGATCAACTGTTTACACAATAACAGGATGATTAGTGAATCCCATTTCATTAAGTTAATCTATCATGCTGCTTGTGAATTATTTAATTAAATCAATTTATGATGTGTACTGACAGATATAACGCATGTTTATGCAAATTTCACTTTTTTATAAATCATTTTTATAAAGTTTTATTTATACAGGGTTTGACAAGTAATTTATTAAGAAATTTGGCATCCGCCAAAATTAAAAACAGCAAAATTTTTCATTTATAAATTTTTAAACCTTACCCCCTAAATTTCAAAACAGCAAAAAAATAACCAGCTATTTTATTTTTACTAACTAAAAACTTGTTTCTCAGACAATAAATACCAACTGCTAATACTACACATTTTATGTTGCATTATATATGTTATATTATCTCAATTACCATATTTCTTTACTCTCAACAATTTTCAAATTTTAAAATGTGAGGATTGCTGCTTTCCAACCCTGAACAGTTGGGGCAAAAATGGACACAATATTCGCGCTTGATACAGGTCTGAATTTGGATTGTAATTAAATATTTGACACATAAAAGGTTTCTGACACAGAATAACTGTAGTCAAAGAACTTAGAATTGGTTATATGATTTGAATCTATATTCAATTTTTTGCTTTTTTGCAATACACTTTGCTGTTGTGAATTGACCCCTCCACCCCTCCCCCCACAAAAAAAATAAAAAATTGACCCCCACAATTTCTTTTTACCCCCATCCCCCTTTTTCCCCAAAAAAAATTCTTTCCCTCATATTATGGTCATAATCTCAATTCAAATTTCCAATGGAGTTTGCAACCATAATTACCCATTTAAATTTACCATAGTGCTAACTTAATCTATTTTATAATAGAATTTAAAAAAATGGTGTCAAATCTTTCATATGGATTTTTTTGTAAAAAAAAAAGATGCAACATTTGAAGATATTTTTACTGGTCTTCCTTTATAAATATGCATTTCTTTAAACATAATTTAAAAGCAGTGTAAGGGAGGTAATCAAAACGTTGTATTTGGATAACCTCCCTTACACTGCTTTTAAATTACCTTAATTGTTCATTAACCATTACTTTATAAATAATTTAAAAGCAGTGTAAGGGAGGTAATTCAAATGATGTATTTGAATTACCTCCCTTACACTGTTTTAAATTATGATAAGTACTAAAGTATTTGTCCATTAACCAGGACACCCTTGGTTTCCCCCTTTTTTGCCCCTAATTCCTAAACGGTTTGAGCCATAACCCCCCAAAGCCAATCCTTTGTGGTATGGAAACTTGTGGTATAATTTCAGAGCGATCCATACACCGTTCCACAAGTTATTGTCTGGAAACTAGAAAAATGCTTATTTTTGGCCCCTTTTTGGCCCCTAATTCCTTAACTGTTGGTACCATAACCCCAAAATCAATCCCAACCTTTCTTTTGTGGTATTGAACCTGATGGTAAAATTTCATAGAGATCCATTTACTTACACTAAAGTTATTGTGCGAAAACCAATGTGTCTTCGGACGACGACAATGCCGCCGTCACCACCGACAACGTCATACCAATAAACGACGGCAAAAATTTTTTGTGGTCGTATAAAAAATATTGAAAAATGTGATGCAACAATAGAATGAGTTTTAACCACTGAATAATTAAGAACTTGTGATACACAATAGTGATTTTTAAACAATAAACCAATAGAATATCAAAAATCAGTTAATAATTAAAAAGTAGATTATATTAGATATTGTTTTACACAGTGGCTGTTGTTGGTTGCTGTCTTTCATATATGTTTTTCCATTCGTTTTATACATAAATTGTTTTACATTTTGGCATGCCGGAAGCTTTTATAGCTTACTATACAGAATGGATTTTCCTCATTGTTGAGGCCTGCACAGTGACCTATTGCTGCCACAAATCTACATCATTTGGTCTCTGTTTGGATAATTGTCTCATTGGCAATCATTTCACATCTTCTGACTTCTACAAAGATTCTAATTATCTGTCCTACTTACTCATGCTGCTGTGACTTGTTCTACAAAACACTATTAACCATAAAATTATGCTGAAGTGTCTACTCAAATTTCATGTCTTTCTTGTCTGAAAAAAGATAAATAAATTGTATGTATCCATAAACAATAGTGATAAGATGTTTTAAAAAGTTGTAAATCATGAACATATTAGTACTAACACCAGGCTCCAAAGAGTATGTATTGCTCATCTAGATCTTAGTCCATTGTTCACAATAGCATATAAATTGTTTCTGTAGTTTGAGAATTGAAGATCTTTGAAAAAATGCAAATAAAGGATAAAATGGTCACTTAATAGTACAATGGTAATAACTGCAATCAACAGTCAATTGCCAACACATGAATGACAATTTCTGTCATGTGACTCATATGTATATATATCTGGCATTGATTTACATACTTGCTGTTTACCGTTTCTGTCTATCTACCCAAATTCTCTGATAAAAAATCATCATTTAAAAGGAAAACCCCTATAACTTGTTAATTGCTGTTTTTAGCACTAGCCATATTGGCATTTTTGAGATCTTGTATTAATCATTATTTTTGCTGTTTACATGTTCTGCCCATCGCTTACATGTTTCAGGTACAAACAAACTCATAGAAGTTGTCTGATGGTTTCAGTCAAATTGGCATTTGTATAGATCTTGTATTGCTGTTACAATTTCTGTTCATCTATCATTATTTTCAAGAAACATTTGTAACAGGCAAAGTCTGGTAAAAAAAAACAATCCCTCAAGGGCAGTAACTCCTACAAGGATTTGTCCGAAGATTTTAGTGGAAATGGAGAGTAAGCATGCATTCTGAGCATTATTAATTTTGTTTCAATATTGATTTCAAAAAGAAGCTTAGTATTTTTTTATTTCATTTGCTTAAAAACTGAATATTTTATCTTTTCAGACAACAACCTACACAAAGTGTAATAGACCTTATTTTTTGGTATTTGGGAATCTGTGACCTTGACCAGAGAATCTGCAACATTTGAACTATTGACTTCGTACAACAATAACTTTTCCTTTGTGGCGTCAAGACATTTTCTATTAAAATTTTACGGAAACCTTTGTGATGTCCAGTGATAATGGGCAAATAGCGATAAGGTGTATATTACTTCGAACATGATCACACAGAGAAATCAAAATGTAGTTATACCAAACTGTTGTTTGCCAAATGGAAGATGTCACATGCATTAAGATGATTACCAGTTTTCCCTCATAATAAATATTTGTAAAAACATAATGTGGATTACATGTACTGTTGTTAAAGCCCCCAAAAAAACACAAAATTACCCTAGTACATAACATTTTGACCTATCAATAACATGAACAACAAAAATTTAGACCTCACAAGTACATTATATATATTTAACTAAATATATGTTAGTTCCAATAAACTTTTATAACCTTTCAGAATTTTTTTCTTTTCTTTCTTATTACAGGAATTTTTGAATACTCAAATTCCGTCGTAAAATCAAATTAAAAAGCATGGGGATCTAAAACAAAATTATGAACAAAATCTAAAAAGGCATTGAAGTCAATAACAAAAGCATGAACAAAATCTAAAAAGCATTGAAGTCAATAACAAAAGTATGAACAAAATCTAAAAAACAATTTAGAGTCAATAACAAAAGCATGAACAAAATCTAAAAAGCATTGAAGTCAATAACAAAAGTATGAACAAAATCTAAAAAGCATTGAAGTCAATAACAAAAGCATGAACAAAATTTTAAAACATGGAGATCTATAAAAGTATGAACACAATCCAAAAAACATGAAAAACATGGAGATCTATAAAAGTATGAACACAATCCAAAAAACATGGAGATCTATAAAAGTATGAACACATTCCAAAAAACATGGAGATCTATAAAAGTATGAACACAATCCAAAAAACATGGAGATCTATAACATGTATAAAGAAAGTATTTACTGATGTTATTCACAGCAGCTCCATTTAAATGATTTATGAGGTGTATTCAAGTTATGTGCACAATTAAATTATAATCCATATATTACTGTGAATTTCCCAGATGGAAATTATTTTTCTTGATTTTATTTTTTTGCTGACTATATCAAACAAGTAAGGTAATTAGATTCACATACTTATCATTTCAAATAACTATTCATTTAATAATTTCCTTCTATTTTACAAAAGTTCTTCTAGAATTAGTATTATATATCCTTTATATTGCTGTGTAAACATGGTAAACAAATCGATTAGATTCCGACGTGTCTGTCAATTGAAGACAGTCCCCTCTAGAGACTTAATTCTATTTCTTAATCAATTTTTCTTATACTACATCCCTCATAATTCTGGACATAATCTGATTAACTGTAGTGAATGAATCTGATTTTCAATATGATATTCTTCATTTCCTTCATTATATATTAACAAGTTCTTAACCTAACTTAACATCCAAGAGTAGACCATCTCTTTGATGGTATTTTTCTGTGATCAGACATGGGTAATTTTCCATATCATATATTTTTATTATAACTAATTACTTATTTCAGTTACTTTGATATTATATATATATTAATCAATTAAATCAAAATTAATCATGTTATGTACTTTGTTTAAACTATTTTTTAATTTACTTTTATATTATGTTTGAAATTATATTGTAATTATTCTGCTCATTTTGGGCGCCGTGATTGGCAAATAAAACATTTGTTTGTTTGTTTGTTTGTTTGTTTGTTTGTTTGTTTGTTGTTTGTTTGTTTTGTACTAAAACGATACTCCACAGTCACCTTTATATAATTGAAATAAATAAAGACGAAAATCAAATTGGTAATTTAAAAGGAAGGATGTTGGTTGGGTGTTTAAAAGATTGATTGTTTGCTGGTGTTTATCGTCCCTTTCGACACTCTAAGCTATAACTTGCTGGCCCATTTTTATTGCTAGAGTAAGCCAGAGTACCCTCAGAGAGAATCAACGAACCTTGACAGGAAAAGTGTCTAAAAGAAATAAATCCTGTGAAATACAAAAGACAACACTTAAACTGCTGTTACTTATCTTGACTGAGACTTGGAATGTTTGATCATTTTTAAAGACTGAATGATTCCTAGAACTCTTTTTGTTATAATTTGTTGTAAATCATATTTTATAACATATATGTCATATAAATCAGTGGCATAGCTGCAGTGTAGCATTGTGAGCATGTACTTACAAATCATTTAAGCTGCCGCCCCCCAGACCACCTGCTTACAATTAATTTTCTAGTGGCTATGCCACTGTAAATTGTGTACAAAATACATGTATGTCAAGCTCTAAAATGTCCTGAGTCTATAAAAGTTATGAAGCATTTCAATATCTTACAAACGTCATTATCACTTTTAATTTTTATAAAGGAGTAGGTCCAGTAAGGGCCGATTTTGGCCTCAAAATTCAGGTTCATCTGATGAAAGATTTTGGACACTTTTTAAACACTTAAGTGTCTACTTCAGTCGATTTGATTAGTTTATGTGAAAGATTTGAACTGATTTAGTCATTAAAGACGCTCAAATTCAAGCTTAAATATGAAAAATCTATCAAATATGCCATAATATGTCACTTTTCAGATGGTTTTTGTCAGAAATGAAAATGGTCGCATCCGTGTTCATTCTCAACCTTTATATATGTTATGTATTATCATCAAATACAACTTACATTTAAATATTAAGAATGAACACAAATGCGGCCACTTCCATTTCAGACGGAAACCGTCTAAAAATTAACCAAAAAGCTAAAATTTCGAAGATTTTACTAATTTAGCATGACTTAATGATGCTAGTACCCGATACATGTGCATTGTATTGTCAAAAACAGTCCATATTTATGTAACAGAAGTATTCTTCTTTCCAATAAATAGCTAAAAATTTACATTTTAACAATTTTGTAAAACTGCTATATTTTGGGGCCAAAAAGGGGTCTTACTGGGCCTACTCCTTTGCCTCTGATCTTTCTCAGTGATAATTCTCCATCTGAAGCTTCTCGACTGAGATGGGTTTTTCTCAGTCAAATTCCATAGAGTGAGAATTTGATGATGTCATAAACCCAACATCATTGACATTTCCTAGAAAAATAACAATAGGCAGATTATCTATTGTTTTTCAAACGCAAGGAAATTGTAGTCAAGAAACTCCCTTTCATTTTCAGAACTATAGATAATCTATATAATTCTCAGAGAATATACTTTCTTTTAGATGCATACTTTATAGTAAATATATGGGAATGTAGATAGCAGTTCTATGATTGTCAGTCTATGTTAAATTAATTCATAACTGTACTGGACTTGGGACAATTTAGAGCTAGACATATTGTATAAACACCTGTCTATTGTTGAGAACAGTATCAGCCTGGTTCCATCTAGAGGTCAGCAAGTGTCTACACACTATATGTCCATACAATATGTCTATACAAAGTACAATGATATAACATTTCCATAATATTCACTAAGTTATTTATCTTAATTGAACTATCAAGTAAAGGAACTGCATTTTGACACATTGAACTGGTGAGTGCTTTACATTGTTTATCTTAACTTTAGACTTTAAAAAAATATCATTAGTAATAAAGCTTATAGAACTGGTTTAATCTCACCACATTTGGTGCATTTACCAAGTCTGACTTTCTGGAATTCTGGACTAGGTTATGTTTGTTATGTCTTTGAACGTCTCTTAGATGAAACAAGAGTGCACATGCTGAAATGTCTCGCCTTCCTTACTAATCATTGATATTATGTTGATAGTCCTACATATAAAGCTTTATTACAACTGTCACATAAACTTAACATTAACCAAGTAAACTAAACATTGACCAATGAACCATGAAAATGAGGTCAAGGTCAGGTGAACCATGCTAGGCAGGCATGTACAGCTAACAATTCTCCCATACAACAAATAAAGTTGACCTACATGTATTGCTTATAGTTTAAGAAAAACAGACCAAAACACAAAAACTTAACACTGAGCAATGAACCTTGAAAATGAGGTCAAGGTCAAATAAAACCTGCGTGACTGACATAGATCATAAAATATTTCCATACACCAAATATAGTTGAACTATTGCATATAATATTAGAAAAAAAGACCAAAA